CACCTTGATTATCTTTGGATTCCACTTGAGTTTTGATAATAATTACTTCTTGCAAAGATGTGTTCATTTGTTTGTTATCATCAACAATTCCACCACTAATTGATCCCCAAAACTAAAATATATATATAATATATAATTATAATCAAAATTACGTTAATTATAATATATACATATACATAGATAAAATTTAACCTTTTCCATTTTTTCGTGATCCTCTTTTAAACTTTGTTGATCAATTTTTGTTTGCTCTTCAGGAGCAATGGTCATTGTAAATTTTAAATTTTTCATAATAGTATCAATTTCTCGAGTAAGGTTTCCAAACATCTCTTCAAAATTCCTTGCAGAATTGTATTTATTATATCCAGGAAGATGAGTAATATCATTAAGAAATGTTTTTATTTCTGTTAATATAGTGGTAAAACGTACAAAGTGCTTGTAATAGTCTACATCACGAAAAAGATATTCATTTTCTTCTTTTCTACGTTCTAGATTTTTAATGTGAATTGTAGCAACGTCTACACGAACTAAAAACACATTACAAATCTTTTTGTTATACTCTGCATTTTCAAAAATATCAACAATTTGATTTATCACAGCATTTGCTGTGGTTATTAAAGAAGCAAAAGGTTTAAATGCTTCCCCCACAGAATCAACAGTATTATGTGACGGTTTATCCATTATTATTTTCTGAATAAGTGAGGTATTTGAGTAAATGAAATTGATATTTGTTATTGTAAATATACATTTGGATAGAGGACAAACAAATTCATGATGTGTCACTTTATTGAACTTGATGTTACGCGAAGAAATAGTGCAACTATTAAATTTGGTAATTTTTGTAGATAGATAAGTTTGTTTACATGATTTCTCTCATTTTAAAAAAACAAACAATGGAACTTTATTTCAATTTTATGGAGAAATCTACTATTTTACTTTGCAGAAGTAAAAAATTTTAATTAATTAATTGTTTAATGTTGGAAGATGAAGAATTCTTTAAAAAAAATCGTTACTGCATAAACTTTAAGGCATTCGAGAATCCGTCATTCTAAAACTATGTCAGATTTGCTACTGAATTGGATCTTTGTCAAATCACCAAGTTTAAATTTGATAAAATATTGGTGAAAATTATTCAAATGTCAAGGTACTTGGAACTACCTGTTTAGATTATAGCTGGATGCTTGATTTCATAGTTTCATTCAAAATATTCGTGAATTAGATTGTTATTTTCTTAATGGTTTTGAATTTTTCGATAGGTTGGCAAGGTCATGTAGAAATATTCAAGTTTTAAAAATTAAAGTTGATATTAATTCTTCAATCGAGGACAAAATTGATCGTAATCTGACTCAAAGAACAAAATCAAATCAAGAAACCAGCTATTCATGTAAACAAATGTCTAACTTTGTCAGGGGAATTCAAAAAGGCAGTTGCAATTCATTCAAAATCAATAACCTATTATGAGAAGTCACGGGTACGTTAAATTGGATTTTTTAATACCAACATTTGAAATTTTCAAATTCATGCTACACGAACAAATAAATAAACACATAACAAAGCCAAAACTGCAAGTGGCTTTACTTTCATTTTTATTTAAAGGTTTTTAATTTGCCTTGTTGCTATTTACAAGGCCATATTTTATTATTATTATTTTTTAAAACGAACCATAAATGAATTTAATCAATCAAATTGCAAATCCTCGTTATAATCCAACAAAAATGTATCCTAATCTCAATAAATTTATGAACAAGATTTAAGGAGTGATCCAATCCAACCCAATTGTGAATACAGCCATTGTCAATGTTCAATAATGATGCTAGTAGAATGTCATCATCAATAAGTAATTTGCAACATTGTTTCCTTTCAAATATTACAACCCTAAACTTAATCATTTATAATCAGCCATTTTTATATAGTTTGTCCAAATTTCCTTGAAATCAATGGAAGAAATCTAAAGGTCCTAAATGTTGAGTATGTTCCGATTGACAAACATCATTTAGAAGAACTGTTGCAATTAATTGCTCGAAATTGTCAAAATTTAGAACAATCATCAATATTTTACATTAATGAGTTCAATCAACATTTAGTTGATATGTTTAATAATGTCATTCGATTGAAATGTCTTACATTTAATTATGTTTATTACTGGGAACCTAACTTAAATAATGATGATAATATATTTAATTAAAAGTCTGAGTAGTATACCATTAGATTTGCCTTTTTTAGCATTTTTATGGTTTGTCATGATATAATATACGTAAGGAAAAAAATCTAGAGGGTTCTACGCTAATATTCTCACATATTATAAAATAAAAAAATATTCTTTTTCTCAAGGAATAATTTTTTTCTTTAAAAAAAAAAAATGCCAACTGAACATCAACAACCGGTGGATCCATCACATCTTTTGAATTCGTCTAAATTTTTAGAAAGTCTTCGCAAACTACATATTGATTCATTTCTACAAGAAATCAGCAATAAACCACTTGAGCCATTAGTTTATGCACATTCGGATAATAAAATCTCCTTCGTTCTAAATCTTTTGCGAATTCATAATATAATTTCGATACCAGTATTTGATAATTACCAAAATAAATTTGTTAGTATCGTTAATGTGGTCAACATTAACAGATATTTAATGTTGAAAGAGGTTTTTAGTAGAATGGATGCTAAGGAATCTGCTCATGATTATATGAGCAAGGAAGTAAAACAAAAAATTACAAATGTTTACGAAAAACCAATCAGTGACTTGATTGATGAAATGAATTTAGCAAATAATTTTAAAATTTATCACAAATCCGAACCACTTATCGATGTATTAGAAGCGATGGGCACGCACGAAAATGTTTATGCTATTTTAGCTTCGACGTCAAACAATAAAGAAATTATGGCAAGTGATGTCCAACATGCCGCCATTATTACCCAATGGGATGCGATCGATTACTTTCTTAAAAATCCGGTTTTGAAAGAAGCTCAGAAGGATGGTGCTTTGGATTGGCCAGCTAATAAAGTTATGCAACGATCTTGGATCTCCTTTACCAAAAAAGATGATCCGAATCAACCTTCTCGTAGGTAATTATCAATAATTAATTACTTATTATTATTTGATTGTAATTATTTTTTATGTTTTGTTTATAATTAATTTCTTGCTTTCTTTGATTCATAAGATTACCAGTATCTCCAGTCAAGTCCACATTTGCATTTTCCATCACTAAAGACATGACAGCTTTAGCAGGATTTAAAGTTCTGGTAATATTAATAATTATTCTCACATGGTTGTAATTATAATTTATTTTTCTCATAACTTTCATTGTTTATTTTTATGAAGGCAATTCATAACTTAAGTTCAGTCGCAATTGTAGATGGTGGTGATGACGAGGCTGGCGAAAGAATCGTTAAATTAGTCGATAATTTATCATCCTCGGATATTCGCTACCTAAACGTCGACAATATCGCAGAGTGCTTGTTACCAATTACAGAATTTCTTGGAAAGATTCGTACGCACCCGAAAAACATTATTTTTTGTCATGAAGATACAAACTTACAAGAAATCATGAGAGTTTCAATTGATAATGGAGTTCATCATGTTTGGGTAGTTGAGAAAGAGTCAAAAAAACCTATAGGTGTTGTTAGCATGAGCGATATGCTTGCGATGTTTATCGGTGTTCAGGAAGGTTGATTGGATTGCGTTGGTTTGAATTAAAGCGAAAAATTATTTCTATATATTATTATTGTATTATTTTTATTTGTTATCACGATTTTAAATACGTGGCTATATAGTATTACATTAAAATAAAAAAATATGACTTTAGTTCTCGCGTGTGAATTAATAAAATTTGAGCAATATTTTAAAAAAGCATTAGAATTGTTGCGAGTCAAGATCAAATTCATCAACGGCATCCGTTATTATCAATTCGTATCTAAAACATAATGCAAACAATATTTATCATCTTCGCCACTTCAACTATTACAACAATTTCTTCATACAAAAGTAACTTGTCCACAACATCTTCATCGATCTTAATTTTAATGCAGATATAAAAGTCAACACCATACACTGTTGATTTAAACCTTAATGGTTCAACTCTATAAATAGTTCATGGCGTCAAATAAATAATAATAATACTATTGCTATTTAAGGGTAGAATATACGCAACATTTTACCATGATCTACAGTGGTTAATCCCTATTTTCCTATTGAAAAAAAAAATTTTATATCTTGGGCAAGTATGTATACGCTTGGAAAGCTTTTATGTCATGATACTGTTGTCCAATTACAATTAGTTACGGGATAAATTGAGGACCAATAACTGCATTGGGAAGAACGCGACTTTTTAAATGATTCTTAACTTGTGGCTTTTTTTGTTTGTAATGTTTATGTGGTTCTTTGTATGTATTGCATTTATTTCGTAATACTTTGATATATCTTTGTCAGATGGTGGTTTTGAGAAATAAATAATTATTTTTTTATTTTCCCCAATTTATTTAATTACCCATGTCAATTCAATGTTGCACGCTATTTTTTTTTTTTACATTTCATGCTTCCCAAAAAAACAAATTTGGTAAAATCCGCGGTGGATAAAAGACTTTTCTGCAATCAGCAACAGCTAATTATTATCTAATAATAAAAATTCCCCATTTTGAAAAATAGTCGTAATTAAAAAATTTAATTCTTGAATTTTATTGGCTGTAATGTTTCAAAGTCCAATAAACAATTGGAAAGGCTTCCAAACCTTCCTACACTGGAACTTCTAATCCCAATGAAAGGTCGTTGGGGAGCTTCCGATGCGCATCACTGCTTATCTTCTTTTTTTATGAGAATTACATTATGTTGAAATGGAACAAATCATCAAAATTTTATAAAATTGTGTAATAATAGATTAGGCTTTTTAATTGGCTAATTTCAAATTCACACACCAACATAAATTCACATTACAACAGGGTCATGCCAATCAAAAATCAATAAATTTTTTTCATACTATAATCTTCAACTTTTCATTAATTTTAAAATGATTCCTGCAATGCTCACCAAAAAAAACCTTAGTAAACACACTAAAAGTTTACAGAATAATAGAAAACGTGAGTTTCTTGAAAAATATCTTGAAGACCAATTGGAAGCTATTAGAACCGCTTCAATTGATGAAGGTACTCATCAGCATAATAATAACGACGATTTGATAATGAATTTAATATGATAATTAATATAATTATAAATGTACATTTAATAGCTGGCTCTTCAACAAGCTCTTGCACTGATGGTCTGACAAAAATAGAGGTTCCGCGAAAAGTACGAATCATTATTCTTTACGCGTTTATATGTGTGTGTGTATGTGTGTGATTAATTCCAGTTGTATAATTTTTTAGAAAAAACAGTTGAAAAGAGAACCTTACCTTTTCCAAAAAAGCAAGGCTTCTGTTGAAGTTCAAGTGAAAGGAGGTGATGATCATTACCATTGCTATTATTATTGCTATTAATACTTTGCTAAGTTTCGTATTTATTTATTATTAATTATTCTCTTTTGTATAGTGCGAGATCTTATATTCTCTGAAGTTGACTTTTTAAAATCACTTCCAGGAAATAAACATAATAAATACAATAAACACAAGAAAAGAAATATTAAAGATCGCAAGACCATTAGCATCTCATCATCGCCATCAACAACTAATTCTCACCAAAAACAACAACACCAACAACGTTTAAAAATGGTTTCTGTAATTCACAACACAAAAAAACTTAAACGTTTTTTTGAAGAAACAAAAACCAAAAACGACATCACGAATAACACTATTGATGATGAAAAAGCTCCACCAAAAAAATTAAGAAAATTAAAATCTGATAAAATTTTGAATAATAATGATGATGATAATGATGATGATGATAATGCTTCTTATTCTAATTCTAATACTATAGATGGTGTTGGCGTTGGCGTTGATAAAAAAAATCACAATAAAAAGTCAAAACACACGACTAACAAAAAAGCTTTGGCTGGAATATCTACTAGTAAAAAGGGCCTCAGAACACCTAGATTCAGTAAACATTTTAAACAATCACATTCTGAATATTCCGAACACTTGGAAGAGGGGGAAAAGAAAGATGTGAAAGATGTGGAGAAGTTGGAAATTTCTGCTTTATATGAGTCAGCGTTTAGTGAAAATAAAAAATCAGCAACAACCTCACAAAGATCCTGTTATGAAATAATTGTTGTTAACGATTCAGCGTCAATTTCTTCTTCGTCATCAAGGCTTACTGTTGACACCGGTGAAAAATCTTATAGCACCCCTCCAAGTCCTCCCATACAAGATCAACTAAACACCACCAATCACAATAGTCAAATCTTTTCTAAAATATTTAGACAAAATAAATTTTACACAGAACAAACCAATAGTGATACCAATAACAATTTTAATGCTAATAACGCTAGTAATAATAATGACAATGGTATTAGTGATAATTATAGTATCAACAATTATAATAATAACAATAATAATGATAGTTATTCTTACACGCGTCCAACAAACAACAATTCTAATCCATCTTTAAATAGCTATGAAAAAAGACATCTACTATCGGACGACCCCTCAACGGTCAACAACAATATCTTCACCTATAGCCCAAACATTCTAGGCTCAAATAACTTTGCAATGAATGTTGATTCAATGATTGATAATAATTTAGATATAATAATACTCGGTTCTAATAGTCACTCACCATACATTAATCAGCACGATGCCTTACATAATAACACTAGATTACCACCACTTCCACAACCACGATCAATGAACGTTAATGTATACAATTCAACAAATAATAGCTATCCTTCTGTTTTTAATTACGGCAACCATCAATCATTTGAACCTGATCATACGTTCAATTATCAAATTTATGGTAATCCACAATCTACCCAACATCCAATTACGCAACATTCTAATACATGGCCACGACCAGAAATGAGGATGATTAGCACATCATCCAATCCTTCTCAACAATTTAATAACATTTATACATCGTCACCGCCTTTTTCTTCATATTCATTACCACCTGCTAGATTGAACGATAACTGTAATCATCATCATAATCATCAACATAATTGTCAACAACATTCACGGGATGTTTTTAATCAATCTGCCGAAGTTTTAATAATTGATTTAACTTCTGATAACGAATACACTGATGATGGTGGAGGCGGAGGTAACAATGGTGGTTTTGTCAAGTATCTTAATAATAATAACAACAACAACAATAACAAAAATGATACAAATTCCTTAGTCGATGTTACATCAGAATTTAAATGGAAAAAACATCGATTATACTGACTTTACATTATTTTTATTTTTCTAAAGCTGTTATTATTTTTTGACTGATTTTGTTGGACTGATATTTTTTTTTAAAAAGAAAATTATTATTTAGCGCATATATATATATATAATGGTGGATTCATTTACTATTTTTTATGCCTTTAATAAGGTGTATATATATATATATATATATATAAAGATGTATTATATTATATCATTCAAATTGTTGCTGCTTTATAATAAATAATAAATGATAGAAAACCAATCCATACTTTTCCCAAGTGTCATTATTGCATCCCAAATTAGAATCCGCTCCGATATGTATTTATATGAACTTCTCTTTTAATGTTTATATATATATAATTTTATTATTATAGAAAAGTTTTTTCTTTTAAATCATAACATCGTTCAAAAATAAAAATAATACAAGATAAATACAATCTCAATACAATCCCACAATATAAATATTATACATAAACAAAATGTATATACTATCTATAATTAAATAAGAAAGAAACAAAACCATCAACTAATTTTTAATTACTGTGGAAAAAATTGAGGTTGTGGGAATTCGATGTTGGGACTAGGCGTTGCTTGAGGATTTGCTGGAACCGGAGAAACTTGAGGTTGTTGAAATGGTGGTTGAGTTGGTGGGTACGGTCCTTGAGTTGGTGGATATGGTCCTTGAGTTTGTGGGTACGGTCCTTGAGTTTGTGGATATGGTCCTTGAGTTTGTGGATATGGTCCTTGAGTTTGTGGATATGGTGCTTGAGGCTGTTGAAATTGTGTGTGAGGTTGTTGAATTGGTACCTGAGGCTGCTGAAATTGTGTTTGAGGTTGTTGAATTGGTGTTTGAGGCTGCTGAAATTGTGTTTGAGGTTGTTGAAATTGTGTATGAGGTTGTTGAATTGGTGTTTGAGGCTGTTGAAATTGTGTTTGAGGTTGTTGAGTTGGCAAATGAGATTGAGATGAACTAGCAGCAAAAGTATGAATATTTTGCATTTGAACATTTTCTCCTTGTGGTGGATTATTAGTACCAGCAACACCAGTGTCCAAAGATGATTTTGAGGAATTCACGTTTGCTTCATCTGTATGGGCATCATGCTTTGGTAATGGTTGACGTCTATTTTCATACCATTCCTTACCGATCAAAGCCAACGAACCTAACCAACCCGCCAAAGCAAACCAACCGAAGGCATTTCCGGCTCGTGCAGTTCTACAATTTCCGGCCAATCCATCGGTAAAAAGACTTCCTGTTTTGTTTTTAGCTCTTTCAAAGGCAGCCGTATCCGAGCTCGAATCACAATTTCTCAAACCCAATTCTATACTCAGTGCGATCGTTACCAAAAATACAAGCACAGACCAGATTGCTGTAAGCACGAACTCTATTCTAATGACCCTTAAAGCTCTTGCCAAACTTTGAAATTTACCATATTGTAAATAAGTATAAGGAATACCGACTATTGCAGCTGACATAATAACTGACAAGGCCACAAAGAAAATAAAAATATTATCTATTATAGTACTGGATGTTGTCTTGTTATCAAATGAAATAACTGCTGCGAGACATGCTATTGCAATAAAAGCACAAAATATTTGAGCTCCTCTTAATCCCCATTGTAATTTTGTAATTGAAATTTCCAATCTATCTACAGCCATAATTGATATTCTATTATTATTATATTATTATTATTATTATTATTATTATTATTATTATATTATATGATTATATGATTATATTTATTATTATTATTATATTTAGAAATCGTTTGTTTATTAAAAAAATTAAATTATCTTGTGTTTTTTTTAATTTTAAAAAAAAATTTTTTTTTTTTTTTTTGCAGAGTTGTCACCGCAACACTGTGGCGACCAAGTGGAATAAAAAAGGTATTTATATATGAAATTTTTTTTTTTGAATTGTGTAATTATCAAAAAAAAAAACAATAATAGTAGTGTGTGAATGGGATTATATAAAATGTGTAAATCTTTATATATAAAATAGAATTTCAAAATAAGGGTTAAAGTTTTTTTTCAAAGAAAAAAATTACGCCAAAAAAGAAATCTACACAAGAGAAAAAAATCTAAATTAGCAATAAAATAAAAGGTTTAGTTAGTTTGAAGGTAAAAAAACTTTATTTGGTGTTCTGAGAAAAAACTATTAAAAGTACCGATCTCTTGGTTGATAAATATATTAATACCCTCCTTCCTAAATTTCAGGGTTAATAAGATTCGTATCCCATGCATTTTTGAATTCAGACTTGTCATATTAAGAATAGGAATATTACTAATAAAATTATTCATTGTTAAATTACCAGAAGTTGGGATTAGCAACAACAATAATATATTTATATCTGTAAGACATTTCTTTTTTCATCAAGATAATAAAAAAGGTTATTACTTCAATTTTTCCTTGTGCATTGAAACTATCATATTATAGATAAATTAATTCCTAATCTGTATAATCAATGGAGGCAAGAAAATTTTAAGGAGGATATAGACTGACTCTATCCGAGATAATCAGGCACTGCGTATTAGAAAAGTGGACTAGTATTGTATTCCAAGTTCCGTTGGAGTTTTCCGAAGATGCAGACTGTTCCGTTGTGATTTAGTTTTGTTAGGCTCTAATCTAATAATAGAACCACCAAGGTAAAATAATACTTTATTGCAAAATATGATTTAGATTTGGCAGTGTCATTGACCCAGATCATCCCGATATTTGGATAAGTTCGTGCGGCAGTGAAATTTTATTGTGGAACACAAACGTGTTCACAGCCACCGGATCAATTAAATTTAGCTCTCCAGTAGTAAATATATATATATATATATATATGTGTACAATTGTTTTTTTTTTATAAACATTCATAAAAGATAATAATATGTATATGTAAAAAAAAATTAAAGCAAGAATAATTTATGAGCTTTATGCTAAATCACATTTGGTAATTTAATATATACATTTATTTCTAATTAACTTTTTTGATCAAGTTTAGATCATCAATCATTAACATTTTTTTATTTTTTAAGACGTTCTAATGCTGACTTGATTTCATCTAATTCTTTTGTGGTGGAATCTAATTTAGACCTATGAGTTTGGATTTGTTCTTGAACCTTTTTATATGCATCTTCAATTTTACTTATTTCTTCTTGTTCTGCTTGAAGACCTATATATACATACATATATGCAAATGTATAAATAAAAATCAAAGAATATATTTATATAAAGTAATATAAATTAACCAACTATATAAAGAATTAGGTGTGGATTTTGCTGGAAGACTAGAGTATGGATGAGATGTTAATATTTGATACATTGCTTCCGTTGGATCAGTAAAAACCTACATCATATACGATTATGCATTATTTACAAAATATTATACATACTATTATAAACAAAGATCAATAAAAATTCCATTTATTTACCAATTCGTCATATAAAAAACTTTGTACAGGTTTATTTTTATTAGCAGTTGATATTGATCCATCTTCTTCGTAAGGATGAAGTCGTAAATTATGATACAATGTTACATGTTTTTCACCGCTTTCTGGCACAAATTGTAATTTTATCGATAATTCAAATTCACCCCATCCAGTTTCCGTAATTTCAAAAGGTGGATTCTCAACAACTATAAAGTGAAAATCAATGTAAATATAAATCCTTTTGTTTTTTTAATTATTTATATATAATTAATAAGCCATCTACCTCTTGATGAGTTAGGATAAGTTTCATGAAGTTTAAAAGTGACACGTTTAACAAAGTAACTAATGTCTTCACCATTTATTCCACTTACAGAAACTGTCCATTTATGAGTATGATCAGATTCTGGTGCTTTTTTTTGTGGTAATAGAGTTGCGACATTACCATACACTATTGGTCGTACTATTGTTATTCCCTATGTATTGTTATTTGTTTATATATGATCCAAGTAAATAATATATATAATAATAATAAAAAAGTAGCTTTTAAATAAATATGTACATGTATACAAGATATGTATATACAAAAAAAGGTTAAATAGTTTTTAAAGTAGTAAATTTGAAAAATTAAAAATTTATTTATGAAACAATTACCTTTGTTCTTTTTGTTGACGACATTATTAATACGCTTTAAAGGATTGTTGATAAAAAAAATGACAAATTTGGTTCGAATTTCCGGGGCCCTGTAAAAAAATTTTTCTTTTCACAACCTCTGTATTAAAAATACTAAAATTTCTTGTAGATAAAATGAAAGTGGTAACAAAAACAAATAATTTAAATAAATAAATAAATAAATATATATACATAAGAATTTTAAGCTAATATATTTTTTTATTTTATCATTATTATTGTAAAAAATTTTTTTTCTTTTATAGGAAAATCAGAATCATAATCACAGTTTAAAAAATAGACATGACAATGAAATCAAAGAATTATTTTACGGTGAATTATCAGATCTAGACGGTGAATGTGAAGAATGTAGAATACTTGAAAGTGATTTGATCAATTCGAAATTTAGTATTAAACAATTATTTAATTATGAAAAACTTGACGAAAATACTCTTAAAATATTTTGGTTAAAACTAAAAGAGTATAAATTCCATAAAACGATGGCAATCATATTGAAATTTAACAAAATTAAACATCTTAAAGATGATGACATTCCAGTCAAAGTAAAAAAGTTATTATTAAAAAAAGATGATAGGTTTGAATCGTTTTCAAAAATAACTGAAATATTCAATTGCGAATTGAATCATTATAGAAGTAATAATAAGATAAAGAATTTATAATGTTGTATAATTGAAACAATATCTATATAATACAATCAATCTATAAAAACTTATCATCCCTAATCTATCTATAGTGAGTTATTTATAGTGAAAATGAATAAACAAAACTTGTCTCTATTCACATTTCTTTTTTGGTGTTTTTCTTGGTCTTTTCTTGAAACATACATGATACTTACACCCGTCGACTAAACTCAAGTAATTAATATTTTTTATACATATAGATCTATATTAAAAATTTATTATCAATTGTAAAATTTCATTTATTCATTTATTCATTTATTATCATTCATTATCTGTTTGGCTTCAAAAGTCTTCTTTCGCATAATCTACATGGGCTCCCAAATTTGGAAATGCCTTTGTATAACGTATAAACTTCTCGTGATTGCTTTAATAGTTGGATTTTTCAATAATAATGACAGAACCTGATTTGACAACTATTACTTGGAGAAGTGTTGAATGGATACAAATGGTATTTTTTTTACTTTAAACTACACTAATTTAAGCTATTTTCCAATTTATTCCTGATATCTATATGGATCAACAATCTTGCTTGTTTAGCAACCAGATGGGTTGAATTCAAATAACGTATTAGATTATTTTGCTGAATCCCCATTCTGGGATCCACAATGTAGCAATAATATTTTGAAAATGCAAACTCGTTATAATGAATTGAAAGATATTACTTCTAATCTAAGGTAAATTGGCCTTTAATTCATACAAGGCATATATCGGAAGAGTATGTGTTTAATTGATGGTTTTGTAATGTAGAAAAATGAAAGGAAATGAATTTCAAGTTGTAGATGAAAAGCCACCATATTTATGGGTGATTAGAAAACAATATAGGTTAACAGAATTTGAAGGTAAGTAAATAAATAAATAGTAATAGCATGTGTGATGATGATAATTTTAAAATCCTTTTTTGTAACATAATTATTGTCACCTTTTTCTTGAAGAACTTTATTACCACTATGAAGTTCATTTTTTGTTCACAAATATCACATAACCCCATTAATAATTCGGTCAAGAATTCAATAATTCTAATTTGTCTCTTCAATTCAAATTTTGGATCTTTTTTTTTTTATATAAAGTGAGACCAGTAGCTACTTATTATGTATTAAATTTCAACATTTACCAAGCACCAGATTTAGATTCCATTATTGGCAATAGAATTGTAAGTTTTGGTATAAATAAGGTTTTCACGCAATGAGATTACTACTATTTATTTTTTTTAATTTGAACTCACATTATTATTTTTTTTTCCTGGAAAAGTTAACAAGCATTTATCAATTAAGTTTAGCCTTTAATACAGCATACAAACATGTAGATTTTCATCCTGCAACAGGTTATTCTTGGAGGCCAACAGCATCATCAACAAAATCGACAAAATCATCAGCGGCAGAAGTGACAAAAACAACCGCTGCTACTGCTGCTGCCGGGGCAACAACATCATCGTCAATATCATCACCATCAACAATAAGTAGTGATGGTGATAATAACAATGAATTAAATCAAAATATTATTAATGACAACACAAAAAGTAATTTGAGTGATTTTCTTTTGTTTGCCATTTCACAAAACAAAAAAAATTTATATAACACATTTTCAACATTTCTTTTTCTAGAATCACGAATCATTCATCAAGAACCATTAGAACAAATAGAATTTCGTATGGGAGTAGATAGAGTTTTAAAACATATTAATGTAAACACGGAGCGGCAATTACGTCATGTTGATGAATTACTGAATAGGCCACCATCACCACCACCTACATTACAAGATAATAACATAATATCGAAAAATGAACCAAACATTTTAATGACTAGTCCCACTTTAATATCTGTAAGTTTATTTGTTGGTAATGATGGCTAAAATATGTTTCTTTCTTTAATTGAAAAAATTATAATGTTTTTGAATTTTCTTTATTTATAGCCTTCACAAATTGGTGCAGAATCATCTGTTACTATGCAAGGTAATATATATATTTTTTAAAATATTATCAATGTTATTATTAATAATTATTGAAAATTTTTTTTGTCAATTATTTAGATCAAAATATTAAAAGACGTAAAAAAAGTGAAGATTCTGGTAAAAAGAAAAAGAAAAGTACGTAAGAATTTTTATAGAAAATATTTATTTATTTAATTATTCATTCATTCACATAATTTCATCCTTCATTTTATAAAACAATCTTTATTATTTTGTAATTATATAATTTTATTATAAATTTATTAAAAAAATATTTATTTTTTTTTTACTATATTCATGGTTTTATGACCTGCCAAGAACAAACTAGTTAGATATAGCCATTATAATATTCATCATCATCTATACCAAATCATCCTTTTCAACAATCATTTTTTGTTCAAAAATAAAGTAATTAGTTATCAATGTTATTATAAGCGAAAAATTTTTTGTTGTTTTATAAATATAATTTTCATGATTTAATCTTGTACCAATATCGTTCAACTTTGAAAATAACTAGCCGTTTCTCCAATGACATAAGTCGATATAGTTTTTTGATGATACTCATCCGAAAACAATTCTAAATTATTTATTATATCATCTAATAATTATACCTTAACAATTGCTGTATCACCTGCAATAGTGTCATTACTAAGGTACGTTATATTAAAACTATTTATAAATAATAGTATCAGGTATAGTTATATATATATATATATATATATGTGCAACATAAAGGTTCGATCACTTACAATAGGGACTTATTGATACAAATTTTTTAATTTTTTTAATGTGAATCTCAATGTGAATGGATAGATGTCATTTCGATGAACAATTTACAGCTAAATAAAGTGACTCTAAAGTTTTGTTATCCCATTTCCTACATTGCCATCATCATAACGGATAATTAGTGATAACTATCATTTTTCTTTATCTTCTTGTAGCAAAACAAATCCAATTCGATAATTCGGATCCTCCATCAAAAAAAATTTTTACAGTCTCACCCTTTTTCTGTAAAATGTTATAAACCTAGAATCTATATAACATTTTTGTGTATTTGAGGTGTTTCATAAATAACGTTTTGGATTATTATATTTTTTTTATGTACTAAATAAATTATCAATGCATTCTCTTATTTAATAATCAATCAACTAATTCTATTTATTTTCTTGATCATTGCTTTATATACAATTTAAAATTTACAAGTTTCTGTTTCAGGCTAAATTAGTGACATATTGATATCTCGTAATTCTTCACCTTAAATATCATTACATCCAAATTGAATCGTTGATTAAATAAAACTAGATAATTCAACTAATAATATTGCATAATGTTTTGGATTGTCTAACGATGATGGTGTATACAAATAATCAAATTTTTTTATAAATATAAATAAATGCTATTTTTATTTAAAACTTTACCTTTAATTCCAAAAATTGAGGCTCATGTCTTTATCAAACGTTACACTAACTCAATGGTTTTTTAGGAAATAAAAAGTCTTAAAATATTTTTAATACACACACACTAATATATATAAAGTATCTAAACCAAAACCAAAATAATCGATATTCTTTTTATTCCCCATATTTTTACATTCTCGTTCTTAATATTATCAATTAAAATTTTCTTTCTAATAAAACCGTTTTTTCAACACTAAATAACAACAACAATAATAATAAAAGTAATAAAAGTAATAAAAATAATAAAAAATAATAAAAATTATAAAAATAATAAAATAATAAAATAATAAAAATGATGAGTAGTAGTAATCTAGAAATGTTCCCACTAGAGGGTATAAGTAGTAATAATAATAGTAACCTCTCCCCAACAAAATCTCAACAATCTCAACAACAACAACAACTTTTAGCTATCTGCTTAACCAATAATACTGTCAACCAACAACAATTTTATTATTACTCTACTTGTAAGTTTATTATTTATGTTTGATTAATTATAATTATATTATTAATATTAATATAAATGTTTTTATTTTCGAAAAAATCAAGTGGGTAAGAAAGCCGGGTGGTGTTTTTGTAAGTATTGAAGCTAGAATAAATATTCATATTCTATTCAATCATCAATAATTTAAATAATTTAACTTTAATAATTTTATTTTATTCCTTAGGACACCCCCAAACAATCATTACTGAACTTTGGAGAAGAAGGCTTTCTATACCGGAATAGTGGCAGTGTTTCAGTATTAGAAAGCCTTTTAGAAGAAGACTGGGAAAATAAAAAAAATGTGTTTGGAGATGTCTTTAAAAATAATTATATTTCAGATCTCGATCTGCGTTTAGCAATAACGTCAGGACACCAAAAGGAATACGAAGGGATTCTTAAAAATGACGTCCTTTTCTTAAAGGGCAATAATTTAGAATCTATTGATTTGAAAGAAAGGTATTTGGTTTAATGTAAATTTTTTTGGGGGGTTTCTATCTATACAAGATATGTTGGTTATCATAAAATTCCCTATTTTTTTGCCAAATATTAATTTCATGAAAGATGTATTTTTTTTTGGAACTGGATCTAGAAAAAAATTAATATTTATACATGTATATTTATTATACATATTATATATATATATATATATATATATATATAATATTGAAGTAATATTTGAGTCAAGGATAGTGGAGGTTATTGTAACCCATATTTTGTTCTAACTTTTCTTTAAATTTTATTTTATTTGGATTACTTGCACTTCAAAATATATGGTTTTGCATTTGTTACTTTGTTTTTTTTCAATTGTTACTATTATTGAATAGTATCGTCGCCATTCTTGAGCTCGCCGAAGAATGTCTAAAATGCCATCACCTGGTAGTATGTCTTCACAAAGGGACTCCGGATCTGAGTAAGTATAAGCATAAACATCACTATTATTTGTTATTATCATGTTCAATCTAATTAAATCTTAATACATGTATGAAGTTTTAGAAACGTTTTTACGCAGTTTCTTATACATTGGATTTGAGCTAATCGCCCCCAAAACTTTTGACCATAATTCCGACGAGTATATTCTCGTTGGAATAAGCTTTGATTAATATTCAATTTATTTAAATTGTGTTAATATTAAATATTCTTATTTCGTTAGTTTTTATAATATATCTGTTTATATGCATTTGTTATTTGCGTTTATATTATATGTTAATTATTAAATAAAATATTTTATTTCTTTTGTAAAAATTATATTTCAGAGTATTCTAGGATCTAAGAGTATATTTTATATTATGAGAGAGAAAAAAAAAGAACTTGGAATATAATTATAATTATTAATTAAATTTGATAATAAATTTTCTATCCATGAATGTTAACCAATCTGAAGTAATAAACCCATAGATGAACATTTATATAATCCAAGAGACATTATAAGAAATTGAAAAAATACATATAATAATTTGGGCCATAATAAATAAGGTTTAGTTTTTGATGATTCATATCTTTCAAATACTAGATAATTAATTTACCACTATCAATGCTCATCAATGATTTTATTGGTTGGAAAAGTAACATTCCTGTAATCATAACACTAAATATCTGTACTCCATTTCCACTCATTCATAACATAAATAATACATTCATTGGTATATTTTTTCCTGGTGACAAAGCTTGCATCCCAGGCTTTCTAATAATAATACAAATATGAATATCATTATGTTTGAAAATAATAATGTTCAACAATTATAAATTGTTGATGATAACAATACTTTTATTTTTAATTGTTCTTAATCTTTTTCCGTTGAAAAAACTTGTCCATCTTTTTTAGTTTTCTATATACAGTATATAATAAATATATGATGCTATTAATTTTAAAAGATGTTTTGAAATCTTTATATATGTATATCAAATTCATACAATACCAAATTTCTTTTAGAACTAGTTGAAATGGAACTTGAAAGTACGAAACCTGGTGGTGGCGGTGGATCGATCACCAACACTTGTCCTCTAACTTCATGTCGTCTAAATTTAAAAAATTTATTGAATTAATAACTTATAAATATTATATATATAATATATAGAGTTTACCTTTGCTTGATCCGAAAGATTTGTAAAATCTATTCTCCATTTATTATTATTACTCGTCATATTTTCATATTTGGGAAACCTTTATGTCACACACACAAATTATTTTATTGGATGAAGAAAAGAACCGGAGAAAACTAAAAATGAATTAGAAGAACATGAGCCGGTCATTAAAAAAAGTGCTGGATATGCATTCATCTCTATAAAAATTTTTTACGGAAAACGGTATTAATATTAGTATGCTTTCAGTTTTTACCACCATACTAATACAGAAAATGTACCGAGCCTTTCCGTATGTTTTTATATTGAAAACATTGAACTTTACAAGAAACACACGGGAAATACAAATTCCATATGTAATCCATTATTATTATTATTATTACTATTATTTATTTTATAGCGGGAAACATAGAATGCATTTTCCCCACATATCCACTATTAATATGTTTTTAATATGTTCTAGTATATAAAACAGTAGTATTAATAGTATTAGTATTTTCAATATGTTTTCCGCACAGGATTTTTTTTAATAAATAATAATCAAACCAAGATATTATTTTTAATTAAAATAATAATTAAATCAAGGTAATGTTTTTTTACTAAAAGACCCCCCAAAGCGAGTTTTATACCCTATTACTACAATTAACAATCCACCAGTTCTTAAAAAAGGCACATTATCTTTCCACAAAATGTAGGATTACACTTCAAAGCGTTTCCTTTGTTGCTACATGGGCAAATTTCAGCATCAAACCACCACATTTACAACAATAGTATAATTTTGTTCGAGTTCGTACCAGCATTAAATACCATAACCTGAATGCACAAATACGAATCTTGGTTGTGGATTATCAACAGTCACAACAGGCATCGGGATCACGGTATAACGCACATTATAGGGAACAACTGAAGAGAATAATCAAAGAAAAAATGGTCAATGTTTAAGGTTTCGAACATTTGAATAGTAACCCCTTAACAGTCAGTGTGCAAATCCTTTCTCTTTTTTTTAATTAGTGCGTGTAACATTCGCTTGAATGCCAAAATTTTCTTTTAACATTTATAACACATAAACTTCTTAATAGATTAAAAAAATGATATATATAAAA